TAATTAATTACAATAAAATATTTACAATTATATTAATTTCATAAATTGTTATATATGTATAATTTTTTTCTAATGTGTCTCTAACAAATACGTACTTCAATACATATATTTTAACGTTACGTATTTAAAAATATATAATATAAGAAATAAATATATATTAAAAAAAAAGTTGAATTTTATAAGTATACAGATTTTTTAATTTATTTTCTTAATATTGCCGGCACTGTATAAAAATGGTCGCTATTGATGTTCGAATTGGCTCCAAAATGGCGGCACCAATAAGAAAACAAATATAAGGTGTCGTTTCTCGAGGATGGTGCGTACGCATGATGGGTAGTTTTCATTCTGTCGCGTTGCATATTCGATGAACGTTCTTTTCATGTAATGCAATCTAATGTCATGTATCGCACTGTCAAAATTTCATGTCGTGCGTGCGACTCGTAGTATTCGTTACGATAAACTTGTTATATGTTAATGTCAATTAAACCTCGTAGAGATGGTGAATATAGATACTATACGAAAGAATTATCCACTGCACTGGCTCGTCTGGCATAACAGCTATGTAGAACTCGACAAGGAACTGTCCACAAATCAGGTTTGTGCATACCTGCTGTTTAACAAGCTTATCTCATTTGATATTAATTAGATTCCGTACGCCAACGCAACGGTACATGTGATTAACTATAATTGTGCGTTTTATTTGCTTTTATGGCTCTGCGACTTTGTCCTCCAGGTGCTATGTGTCAACAGCTCTGTTATCAATGATAACGAGTCTTCTTCACGTAATTGACATTCTACAATGAACAATAATTGCGTAATTGTTCGATGCAGATGAATAGCGCGATATTGTATACGTGCATTTGTCCGCTGATAGTTTGAATAACGCATTTGTTATTTCAAAGTATTTTCAGTGCATCCTTTTTTTCATATACTCTATCTGATTTTGTTGTGAGAGATATAATAATTAGCATAATTTTACCTGACTCTACGAAATTCTCTTAATACAGCCAGTCCTGTATATTTTATGATAAATATGCATATAAAGATAATAAATTATATAACACAAATCATTCGTACAGACACGAGAGAAAAAAAATGTTTAAAATAAAAGGTTAAAAGTCATTTTATATTACAGCATCTGTATTCATAATTCATGAAGAGATATGAACTCAGATATATATATATGCAACATTAAAAAAAAATCCATATGAAAAAAATGTTAGAAAAAGAAAGGAAAATAATAGACTAAATATGTGTTATTTTATATCATGAAAGAATTAATATTTTTCTTTTATTAATAATAGTGTTTCTGTTTTTAAAAAATAGTTATATGAGTGAAAATAATAAAAATACGTTGTCAGTTTAAAACAAAAATGAGAATCTTCTATTAACTTTCAAATTATTTTTACTTTGAATTGAAATTAATTGCATAAAATACATTAAAGTTTCACATTTACAATAAGCAGTGTAGATAGCATTATATATTAATTATAATTTAATAATGTAACAAAATAATTTGTATAATTCATTCTTTGTATGTTATATTTATATCCATAAACTCATATATATTCGTAATTATATATTCTTTTAAATTTATGATTGCACAATTGACCCGAGCTTATAGTAGTAACGTAAGTTAAAAATATCTGAAGCCTTTCATAAAAAAGAGAAACCTTAGATATGACTTACGACTCCTAATATACTATTGAAGCAGAGAATCAATCTGATATATTCTCTATAATACGAGGAGTACATTTTAAATAATATATCATTTAAATTATATAACAAGTGCAAAGTAAATATATGCTAAAAGAAAAATTAAAAATACAATATTGCTATAATTATATTAGTTAATGTAACTTATAATATTTAAATATTTTCTAGCATGATATAGAAAAACATGACAATCGAGGAAGGACACCACTAATGTTAGCAGTAACCTTGGGTCATACAGATTCTGCTGTAGTATTGTTACAGCATGAAGCTAATGTTAATACAGAGAACACTCAAGGATGGACTGGTAATTTATTTGGTCTTTGTGTTTTATCTGTCTCTGTAATCTTTTTGGACGTTTATATACTTTCAAAACAGTTTAATTTATTTTTATTATATAATCAGTTTAATTTATTTTGATAGTGGTTCAAGAAGCAGTTGGTACAGGAAATCCTGAATTGCTGCAATTGGTACTTGCTAGAAGAGATTACCAGAGATATTGTAATCGAGTGGCTGGTATACCAGAACTACTTCATAAACTTAAACAGGTCAGTTTTATGTAATAACTAATATTAATTCAATACATATACAGTTTCCACAAAATATATCTCTTTTATTGAAAGAGAAATTTTTTTCTGCAAGTTCTGTAAATTAATATTAATCCTAACGTTTCTTGTATGGACTATCATTATGTGAAAGCTTATTGACTTTCCCGTATTCTTGATAATAATTTGATGATCTTAGTAATAGAAATCCTTTTTAGGCGCCTGATTTTTATGTAGAAATGAAATGGGAGTTTACAAGTTGGGGTAAGAAACAGAATTTAATGACATCTGCTTATACTCTTCAAGATCTACAGTTTAATCTATATAATTTGGATCTAACTGCAATTTATACACTTACCTAATTCATTTTTAATAACCTATGTAATTAACTGCTATTGTTTCTGTTGACTAGTTCCTCTTGTATCTCGGATGTGCCCAAGTGATACATATAAAGTTTATAAACAAGGTAGTAATGTGAGAATTGATACTACTTTATTAGGCTTTGATCATGCAAATTGGCAACGTGGTAATCGAAGCTATGTCTTTAAAGGACAAAGTAAGCACAGATATCTTTAATGAATATATAATAGTCTTGTTAATATTCGTGCATGAGTATCGTACAATTTCATTTTTCAAAATTGCGATTGATTATATGTTTTGGGAATGTCAATTATTTGTTTATTATTAAATTCCATATGTTAATACAAGCTCAATTCCACCTATGGCAATTAGATGAACACAGCTGTGTGTTTGGGTGGTCATCACACAGATGATACAATCCTAACATTTAATTCGCGCATTGCATTGCTAAAAATTTTATAAAAATATTTTTATATGCATAAATACAGGGGATTTTTTAATATTAACACTATATATTTCTTGTTATAATTTCTCTTTTTTGTTCTCATTAATTCTTATAAATATAACTGCATAAATTAATGATTAAAAATAATATAAGGAAGACAAGATATTTTTATATCACACATACATATACAATGTTTAGATAATGTGCAATATGATATGATAATATAACGGAGTTATATGGTTTTTTTTTATTGAAATCAATATAATAAAATACTTCATAAAATTTATTTGTAGACATTTTTTTGTAGATGATGGGGCAACAATGATGGAAGTAGATCACGAAACGAGAAAAGTTTATGTTGAACATATGAAACTTATAGGAGGTGATAATATACAATTATTGGAACCATCTGAAGAAGGTGTGATAGCTCGACTTACTAATCCTATAGTTACAACTTATATAGATACAGATAAAATTAGTTTTGAACGGTAACTATCTATCATTACAATATTTAATAATGTTACATACATATTTATATATATGTATATAATTTGTTCGTATCTATTTCTTGTTTATATTGAATTAGCAATAAAGCAGGTCTGTGGGGATGGCGTTCTGATAAAAGTGAAGTAATAAATGGTCATGAGTGTAAAGTGTTTAGCGCAAGCAATGTAGAATTAATAACTAAAACCCGATTAGAACACTTATCTGAAGCAGATAAAGCAAGGGCTCGAGCACCAAGAACACCTTTACAATCATTTCTTGGTATTGCAGAGCAGCAGCAGGAGAGTTGCAGCACTGTCGCTACCAGTGTAATTTTTTTTCAATAATTAATCAGTTTTATTACACATATTTAAAGTATTATTAATCAAGTTATATATTTTAGAAATAATTTAACAGTGTAGGGAATTCTTCTAACATAACTGCTGAGGAATACTTTGACCCAGCTATAGATTTAAATGGAAGAGACATAGGTAGACCAAAAGAAGTTAATACAAAAATACAAAAATTTAAGGTATTTTATATATATTGAAAACTGTGTACATTACACATATATTATATTGTATACTAATTAAAGCAATTTCTTTATATTCAGGCAACTTTATGGTTAAGTGAAGATTATCCATTAAGTCTTCAAGAACAAATCATGCCAATTGTAGATTTAATGGCTATATCTAGTTCACATTTCGCAAAATTAAAAGATTTTATTCAAATGCAACTTCCAGCTGGTTTTCCTGTTAAAATTGGTAAGACGTTAATTATAATATGGTATAAATATGTATATAAATATAAATATGTATGGCTGCAATATATATTGAATATATATACATATTGTACACAAAATATATTAAAATAATCAATTCTTTTTTAGAAATTCCATTGTTCCACATTCTCAATGCGAGAATAACATTTGGAAATATATTCGGCTTAGATCAAGAGGTACCACATGTAGGTCATTTACAAGAAACTAATCGTATAACTTGCTTAGTTGATGATATTTGTTTTGAAACACCTAGTGGATATGCCAAATTAGGTAAAATTTGGTTATATATATATATATATATATATATA